AAAATATTTTAAAATATAAAGTTTAATATTTGTGCAAAAACACGCTACATTATCTATTGACAAAACGAGTAAAATCAAATCAGAAAAGCACAAAGTAAACTCAAAAAAATACTAAACTTATTAGTTACCACGTTTTTTCTAAATTATCACTTCTTTCAAAAATTTAAGTATAAGTAATTTTCAAAGGATTTTTAAGTTGATGTTTTCATTCAATTTTTTTGTTCAAAATAATTTGCAATAAAATAAAGCGAGAATAATCTGGTAGATGAGTAGGGTTTATCGATTTTTTTTTTTTTTTTTTTTTTTTTTTTCAAAAACGGCAAATAAATAAAAATAAAATATATCTTGTTGGGGGGAACGCTTAGTTTTCAACGAGAAAATGACTAAAATATGAAAAACTAACGAGAAAAAAGTATTAATTAAGAAAAAAAAAAAAAAAATTATTTATTTGATAAACTTAATATAAACTATGTTGAACTTTATGAAATTGTCATATTTTGTTAAAAAGTCAAAAAAATAAACACATAATGGGGGCTTTTGTAAAGGTTGTTTTTTGAAAAATTAGTCAATTTTTTTTTTATTTTAGCCAGTGAATGTTATTGTAATGTGCTCTGTCTTTTCTAAAACTAATAAGTCAAACAACTTTGTTATAATAAAAAGTATATTATATACTTATACATTTTATAATATATATTATATAATACTGATATCGTCATTAAAATTTACATATAATTAACAATTAATAGTTTATAAATTTTATTTAAAATATGTGAATCCAACTAAATTATATTTAGCATTGTTTGTGCTCATAAAAAGATTTCTTGTGCTCTTATATATCCATCCCGCTCCACATAGCTTCTCATGAGAATATGTTTTTGCACAAGGAATTCAATTGGAATAAAATATGCCGTCCCTCTAATGCAAACATGCAAGCAAAAACTTTCAAAAAGTAATTTCAGGTGAACCACTTATTGTTTTGCCAGACAAAATACTTAACGATCTTCCGGCCGATCAGGCGACGAATACAGAATTGTAAGAGCAATAAGATCTGGAATGTTACATGAAAATTTAATAAACCCTGAATTAGTTTTTGTTTCTCATTCCAGATGGCTTACTCTAGCTAACCGTTTTTGTAGATTGTGGGTTTCAATTCATTTTTCTCTTAATAACTGTATCCTTTCAAACTTTTAATTCTAGAAGGTCTTTGTTGGACACTCTCTAGCTTATCTTTTACTGTTCATTATATCATTATCATTTTTTATTTTTCTTAGGATTTTCGTGTCGTCCGCAAATAGTTTACAGCTTGATTTTATTTTGTCGGAGATATCATTAATATACACTACAAATAATAGTGGTCTTAGCATTGATCTTTATGATAATTCCACTCACGAATTTTTCCCATACTGATTTATTATTTCCTATCACCACTTTTTGAAGTCTGTTCTTTAAAAATCCCTGACACCAGTCTAATAATTTTGATTTAAAACAAAGAGCATTTTGAACAGTAATCTTTCGTGATCAACTGAATCAAATGCTTTGGCTAGGTCTAGAAACAAAAGTATTACATCCAAACCATTATCAATTGAACTTGTGATAAAGTCTAGATATTCCAATAAGTTTGTCACACAACTTTTATTGTTTACAAATCCATGTTGGCTTTTATTGATTAGTTTATTTTCTACTATTTTATCATTTTATCTTTATTTATTTTTTTCCATGACTTTACAAACTACAAATGTTAAATATACAGGTCTATAGTTGCATGAGTTCAACTTGTCACCATTTTTAAACAGTGGGACGATGTTTGCACGCGACCATAATTTCGTAAATTTACCCGTCTCAAATGATTTGTTAAACAATAACGATAGCGGTTTCGCTAAAGTGGATTCAAAATCTTTTAGAACTTTTGAATAAACTTTGTCCACTCCAGTTGATTTATTAATGTCCAGTTTGTTTAAGTGTTCTTCTACAACAAAGAGATTAAAATATGAGTTTCTACAGATTTTTTGTGTTTCTATATCTATTATTGGAGCAGGTGAAGTTTGTGGTTTGATTGAATACTGATGCAAAATATCCATTCAATATTTTTGCAAATACTTTTAAATCAAGTTCGATACTACCGCTCAGATTGACTTTTCTTTTATTGTTATTATATGAATAAACTTTCTTGGGGTTAAACTTTGAATTAAAGCAAGATCATGTGCAATATTTTTAATTCTTTAATTCACCTATTTTTTTTAAATCTTGTTTAACTCTTTGTATTTTGCAAGTAAACGATTGTCTCTACATTTCTGCACATTTTGACATTTAAACCAAACGTTAATTCTTTTCTTTTGACTACACTTTCAATTCTCTATTAATCCAAAGAGGCTTATTGTTGGTTTAAATGCTACCCAGTTTTATGATTGATAAAGAGTTTACATCCTTTTTTTGTAACATTTGTTTATTTCCAAGCCTTTGAATTCATCGTCTCAGTTTAAGATTTTAAAATAATTTCTTAATTTATCAAATTTCCCTTAATTGTAACTAAACTTGTCTTTTTTAAGTACAATTAAGTACAAAGAACAATCCAACTAAAAAAGGCAGTATCGAAACTAATTTGAAAAAAATTGCAAATACATTGAATGGGTATTTTGCATCAGTATTCAATAAACCACAAACTTTATCTAGTCCAATAATAGATAAAGAAACACAAAAAATCTGTCGAAATCCAGATTTTAATGCCTCTGTTGTTGAAGAATACTTAAACAAACTGGAAATTAATAACGCAACTGGAGTGGATAGAGTCCATCCAAAAGTTCTAAAAGAGTGCAAATCCTCTTTAGTCAAAGCACTATCGTTATTGATTAATCATTTAAAACGGGTAAACTTCCGAAATTATGGTTGTGTGCAAATATCGTCTCACTGTTTGAAAATGCTGACAAGTTGAACCCATGCAAATATAGACCTGTATCTTTAACATTTGTAGTTTGTAAAGTCATGGAAAAAATAATTAAAGATATTAAAAACCAACATGGAATATCAAGATTTGATCATCATTAGATCAACATTGATCTCTATTTTTATTCTTAGCTATAATCAAATCCAGTACATTCGTTTTATTCCCAAATTTATTTTGAAAGGTTGACTCAACCACATTCTGATGCATGAAGGAATTATTTAAACATTCTAAAAAAATTTTAGCTGGTCTATCAGTCTCACTAGTTAGTGTGCCATAGTAATCTTCTGTCCACTTGATTGTGTTGAAATTAAAATCCCCACAAATAAGAATTCTAGTATACTTATTTAATAATTTAATTGAATGAGCAAAATTAATAAACTGTGATGCTGACACAGTTACCTATGTTGCTAATACCGGTACTGTATATAGTGCCACATAATATTTTTTTACTTTCTAATTAAATAACGCACCAAATTTCTTCTATATTAGGGTCATTTAAACATTTTTTATAAAATCTACGCTTTTGTACATATACACACACTCTTTTCTTCCTAAATTGCAAAATAAGATAACGTCAATTTATATTTAGAACCCTCATTATAGCCCTGCTACTGGTAATATGTAATCAAGTACAATCTGCACCATAGCATGCTGCCTTGTATAATTCGCTTTTCTATGCAAAGACTAAGAGAAGTTAACTCTGACTTAAAATATCCCTGCCTTGGGGCTTTTAGTTAAGTAAAGCTTGGAAATGGTGTCTCGATAAAAAAGCTTATCTTTGGCAGCTGTTAACGGCATCCGCCCTGAAAAATGTTTTTTTTTTATTGAAAATTAGAGTATGTTTATTTATTATACCATTTTGTTTTTTATAACAATAAATAACAAAGGTTTTAGAAAAGAAATTTGAGTCAGTTCTCTATATAGTTCAGACCCGTAAAATGATTTGAAGTATCTTACAACAGAGGTATGCAGTATATATTTTTACTTATGAAAAGTCTATTTATTGCATAAAATTTGTATCAAAAATATTGACGACCTCTGTAATAACATAATTTAATCCATTAATCTTTGTTTTGCGAGTCTTAGTTTTAATTATTTTAATATATGATAAAATTGAAAATAGATAAGTAAAATGTAGAAGTTTGATTTTTATTATAATCAATTAAAAAACTTATCAAAAACATGTATTTTTTAGCCCTGAAATTCCCCTACTTACAAAAGCAAGTGATTTATTATTAGTCTAGTTCCGTAAAATATTTTGTATTATAAAATATTAAAAAGTTAAAATTTGAAAAATCTTGAAGAAATTTAAATAAAATCTTATTTTCGCTCAGTGACGCATACTGGGATGGATCTCTGGGAGCAGACCTCTTTTTCATAATGGAATATTTTCAGTTTTTTGTAGGTGAATTTAGAAGGATTAAGTTTGCGACTACTATTATAAATCAATAATCTAACAAATTATCAGTCAATATACGTAGTTTATCGAGACTAATTTGTTTGAATTTTGACGTATTATACATTTTTAGAAAAGAGTAAGAAAATTAAAAAAAAAAAAAAAAATACAGTTTTTAATTCACTTTTAATGGTTCATATCTCATGTCAATTTTCTGGAATAAATGAAAAACCCGAAGTAAAATAACATCAAATGAAAACCTCTAAAAAAGAGCAGTGAACGATAGAAATAACGTTTTTGAGAAAACTTATTAAATTAAAAAGTGTCAATTAAAACAAGTATTCAGTGATTTTGAAAAGAACTTTTAAAGTAGTTAACTTTCGTTAACAATACTTTTTACAAATAAAAACTTTTAAAAAAATTATTTTTTAGTTTTGTTTAAAAATTTCATGGATTTAATTTTTAAAAAAATCATAAACTTTATGGTGACGTATTTTTGAAGTATTCTTTTTTTTTGATATTGGAGGCTCGCTCGAATGTAACTTCTATAAAAAAATACTTACAAAATTATTTTTAAAATTTAGTGTCATTTTATTTTATAAAAAGCATTTAAAGGTTGGAAGTTGAAAGCAAGGGGTTGGAACAATTAACAAAAAAAAATTCTTTAAAAGTATAGCCTAATATTTCTAAACAGCCAAACCCAAAAAAAATCAAAAACATAATATAAATAACTACTTATGTGATAATATATGTTATATATAAATATACTATATAAAAAAGCTTACAAAACCTATAATGTAAATAATTATGTATATATGAATATATTAAAATATCAATTACTATTTACAACTATTTATTTAAGCAACAGTTAAAGGGATCTATTCACAAGTACTTTGTGCCTTACGCCATCTTTGAATAAGTGCTAATTGATTGCTACCGAGAACTGGATGCGCCAAAAATAGATTATTTAAATCACAGTCGTTTTGACGACCGGCATAGTTCAAATCAAAATGAGATTTTTCGTCTCGCACAGGCACTTTAAGTTCGTATGCCATAAGCCCAACATACAAATCCTCCATTGGAAACAAGCTTCGACCATATGAAAAATTGATAATGGACTTTAAAACATCTTCTGACATTAAGTACCCACCTCCAAGACAGTATGGAGGATAAGTAGGATTAGCATATTCTTCCACAGAAACATACCTTGTAAAAAATTAAAACACAAACAAAAATTAAAATCAAATGCTTTGAGTGTGACGTTGATTAAACGTATAGCATTTAATTGTACGGTATTATAAAACTTCAATATTTAAAGGGTGTTAAACATACCATTTATTATTCTTATCGCGAACAACTGGGGAGTTAAAGTTGCACCAGCCCGTATATAAGTTGTTTTGAGGAATGTCTTTAAGCCATTCAATTAGAATAACTGGATTAACAAAAACATCATCATCAGTTTTCAAGAAAAAAGAACTTTGACAGTTATAATAGGACCATTTTAGTGCAAGTCTTGTTTTCATGACAAGAATTTTGTAATCTTCCTCCATGGATCCAAAAACTATATCTTTCTTCAAAATTGCTTCTTTGTAAATTTCAGAGGTAGAGTGATCTTTTGGTACGCCTACAATAAAAACAACCTTAAGAACATTGCTTAATGCATATACTTTATTGTTGGGAAACAGTTTTTTTACTTTAAGTTTATCAAAGTCTTCTGAATAAGTATTTGCCCACGAGTTTCTAATTTGCTCGCGTCTTTCATAATTTGATGGTTGCGATACAACAGCTATGAGTAAAAATACTGGGTCAGAACATGAAGCGGAATTAGGCAAAGGGTCGGTTAAATATTCAATTTTCTTTTGAAACTTAGATAACTTTGAAAGTAATATATTATCCACATTTTTGAAGTTGTACACCTTGCGAATATTATCGATGTCAGTTAAATTATTGTTTTTTAAAAGTCGATTTTGTTTCAAACCAATTTGTACACCTACTTTGTTGAGTTCAGTAACTTCAATTTGCATAACTTTATTGATCTCGTGCACATCAGCCGACATTATTCGGTTATTAAAATCAACTTTTTGGTGAGAATCATAAGAAATATCTTCGTTAATAAGTGTAGGATAATATTTTGAACTTGTTCGATTATGTTCCAAAAAGACTAAAAAGGATAAATAACATACCCCTGCAACCATCACAAAGCATAAAGTCAGATATACAAACTTGCGTGGGTAAGACATTGTTAAAGATGCTAATGACAGACTACTTTTGATTTTATATTCTATAACAAAAAATCCTCAAGTAAATCAAACAAATAATTGCTTTGTAACAAAAAATAAAATAAGCAAGAAAGTTATTACTTCATTATTCTTCAAAAGAGTTCTTTTATAAATATTTCCATTTTGGGGCTTGCCTAACAAGTTCATAATAAAAAACAGTTGGGACAAATGTATTTGAAAACATTTTAATTTTAAAAAAATCTGGTAAACTTGAAAAGAAAAAAAAAACTTATATATATCCCTTTATATAATATATTTATAATATATTATATAATTTAATAAAATATTATATAATTTCCTTTCGAAGTTTCTTTTCAAAAGTCTAAGGAGTTAAATCTATTTCTCTCTCTCCATAAAACGAAACCAAAAATACTTACTAAAATAGTTATTAAAAAATTTAAATTCAACTGTCAAACATCAATCAAAATTACAATAAAAAAAACATACAAAAAGTTTTTATTTAAGTATAATATTAAAATTTTAACACACAAAAAAAAAATCAACTTCTGAACAAATTTACAAAAAATGGATTTTTTTAAATAAAAATTAATACAAAGTATCTTTTAAATAGAGATATCTTATAATACAGTTGAATTAAATATATGCAATATACATAAGCAAAAACTTCACACATTTTTTATTATTGATTCAGTGTTAAGCCAATTTTTCATTAAAACAACTAGCAAAACAAGTCGAGCATTTTTTAAAGAAAAGTGAAATGTTTATTGTTAGGTGATTGCAAAAATTTGTGATATTTAAAACATTAATTTTTGACTTCTATTTATTATATAATCATCTTATTTACTGTTTGCAATCACCCATAAATCTAATTTAATACAAATTTGATACAAATGTTTAGTTTTTTATTTTTATATTAAGTTATAATGCATGTAATAAATATAGGGAATTGTATAAAAATATTTTATCTAAATATGACATAAAACATTGAATATCTTATTACAATAAACATTCAATATCATAGTTTTTTTAATTCAAATGACATGTTTTATTTTAACATTTATGTCATCAGGCAACAAAAATGAGACAGCCAAACACGAACGTGGTTTAAATGTTAAAAATAACATGTAATTAAAAATAATAATAATCAAAAATATAAACAAACATTACAACAAAACATTAAATTTAAAAAATGATATTCATACTAGAGATAAAAATTAAAAAAAAAAAAAAAATAGTAAATCACTTCTCTAAAATTGAGAGGTCACAACAGTTAAGAAGACTAAAATTCTGCAACACATATCTTAACAAACATTTTTAAAGAGAAAAAAGTTAATTATAAGGTTGAAGTTTAAACCTAAAATTACTGCACATGTTGTAATATATATATATATATATATATATATATATATATATATATATATATATATATATATATATATATTATATATATATATATATATATACATATATATATATATATATATATATATATATATATATATATATATACATATATATATATATATATATAAATATATATATATATATATATTTATATATATATATATATATATATATATATATATATATATATATATATATATATATATATATATATATATATATATATATATATAATTACTGCACATGTTGTAGTATATGCATATACTCCCAAATAAATAGCTCAAAATTATTTGAAGGTTGCCGATCAACACTGGATTGCAGAAATGATAAAAAATGACAATCAAATAATTTTCCAGACCATCAAAATTTTGCTTTTTTTATTAATTACCGTTTTTATTGTGAAATAGCTATGGCCTTGAAACTGTTTAATTTAATAATCGTTAGTCTTTTTAAAATTTTAAAAAACAATTTAATAACTTTAGGATTCTTTTTAAAACTCCCAAAATTAATTATAGCGATCAAATTTGATCAGCCATAATTAATTTTGGGTGTTCAAAGTATCATTTTTTCCAGAAGTCGACGATCATCAATTGTTGATCGGTGGTATATATATATATATATATATATATATATATATATATATATATATATATATATATATATATATATATATAATATATATATATATATATATATATATATATATATATATATATATATATATATATAGATTTATATATATATATATAGATTTATATATATATATATATATATATATATATATAATATATATATATATATATATATATATATATATATATATATATATATATATATATATATATATATATATATATAGCTTAAAATTGACTGTTAAGAAGATATATTTACCAAAAAATTATAATAAATAAAAATCCTTTAAATAAAAAACATTAAGTAAAATATGAAAGTTGAATACTGTGAAAATATAAAAATATAAAATATTAAAAATACTTTATAACAAATTATGTAATATTAAAACTAAATTAATTTCAATAGATGAAAACCAAAAGTAGCGTTGATTAAATCTTTTTTAATGTTATTTGATTGAGCTTCATTTATCTTTTTTTTTTTTGATTGATTGATTGAACTTAAGGATTGATTACTTACTGAATTCTTTATACTAAATTGCAACTGCAGTTGCATAAGGCGATGCGTTAAATATTCAATTTCTTCATTGAACTGATTTTGCTGTAATTGCAATATAATACCGGAGAAACATACTAAATCTTTATTGATGATAGATAACCATCTTAAAAAATATTTAGACCAAAATATAATATCACTGACTTTACATGAAGGATAAATATACTCTTTGCTGCATGATTTATTAAACTTGAATGCAAGATTAGTAAAAAGTGATTGAAATTTAGCTTCAGATATATTGCTTTCAAGAAAGTCCCATACTGACACCAATATTACGCCTTTCGAGTGCTTTTCACTTTCCATTTCTGAATTAAATATAAATGTTTCAAACAAAGATGAATAAGCACAATCCATTACAAGGACCAAATACAGATCTGTGTATTCAAAATATACTGGATACTGGTTTATGAGTTGATGTAAACAATCAAAAAATAACAGAAAAACAGGACTCTGACCATTAAAATCAGTTTTATTAATTGAATGAAAAGATAATGTACCAAATCTTGAAGAAAAAGGATGACCTTTTAGAACCCAGTCTTTCTGTATAAGAGCTTTTAAACCTAAATGAGTGCGATAATACGGATCTAGCATAATTTGGACTAATGATGCGACAAGTATTGAAAAGTCGTGCCCAGTATTTTCTTCTATTAAAACATTGAAATGTTCTTTTTGAATTTTTTTTGCTAATAATTTTGCTATTTCTAAACAAGAAGAAACATAATGGAGCCACCTAAAAATATAAGAAATAAAAAAATCATTATGAAAAGAAAAATACAGATAATGTTAATTACTAAATTAAAATAATAACAAATTACAAAAATTATTTCAAAAAAAAATACAAAAAACAAAAAAAACACAATGACAATACTTAAAAACAATATGACAACACCTAGAAAATACAAAGAAATTTATTGCTTTATCTGTACATTATTTAGTTTTTAATAAAAACTAAAAAATGTACAGATAAAAGCAATAAAGAAACACCAAAGTGCAATAGAAAAATGCTTTGAAAAAAACTTTGAATAATGTAGCCACCTGATAATAGGTACAAAACACAATGATGTCATTTACATCTACTAATACTTTCATTATGCTGATACAATAAAGTATTTTATAGTTTTTTGTGTTATAACATCAACATCTTTATAACATTTTTTCTTTTTTAAACTAAAACTTTTTATTATGCCTAGCATGGCAAAAAATTAAAAATCGAAAGTTTAATAAAAATATTTGGTGTTGTATATTAAAAATACTCAGTATTGTTCTTCAAATATATTCATTGTTGTTCATTAATGATATTCAGCATTGTTCATCAAAAGGCACAGTTAAAGACACTCAGTGTTTTTGAGAGCAAAAACTAATAAAGAAATTTTTGAACTTTTTATTTACTCACTTATTTCTTAAAAGGAATCAACAATGTGTCAGAAAACATAGAGAAAACCTAAACTTTATATATTAGCTTAGAAATTATGAGAGAATTATGAGAGAAAAAGTTTTAGATTTAGTAGTAAATTTTCATAAGTTTTAAATTATCATCATTAATATTTTACTATTTAATACTTATACATTATATATATATATATATATATATATATATATATATATATATATATATATATATATATATATATATATATATATATATATATATATATATATATATATATATATATATATATATATATATATATATATATATATATACAGTATGCAAAAAAAATAATCGTACACTTGAAAAAAAATCGTAATTTTAAAGATTGCATCAAAAAAATTAGTTTTTCTTTAAAATATTTGAAAATTTTTTTAGATATCTTACCAAGTTTTGTTTTAAGAATTTATTTGTGTATTGGTGAGTTAATTGCTTTTCATACCTATTAAATTTTACACAATTGATCTAATGATGCATAAAATTGACTGCAAAAAAAAAATCGTACAGTTCAAAAATAATGTCAAGTTGATCAAACTTCATGAAATTTAGTATCGAGTGGGGCCTCCTTTGACCTTGATGGCCTCAGCTAGACGATTTGGCATTGAGTTGACCAAATTTTGGGTTTCTTCTGTTGTTATATTATCCCATGCACTCATTATAGCTTCTTTTAAGTCGTCTTTTTGTCTAAATGCTCGGTCACCAATTTTTCTGTTTAAAATATACCACAAATTTTCTATAGGATTCAAGTCTGGACTTTGAGATGGCCATTCCATAACATTGATGTTATTTGTGTCAAAGTATACCTTTGTTTTCTTAGCAGTATGTTTTGAATTGTTATCCTGCTGCAGTATAAAATCCTTTCCCATTCTCAATTTTGTAGTAGATGGTCGCAAGTTGGCTTTAAGAATTTAACAATACATTGAAGCATCCATTTTTTCATCAATAATTGTCAAGTTCCCTACCCCTTTCCAACTCATACTACCCCAAACCATCACATTTCCTCCTCCATGCTTTACACTACCTCGCAAACAACTTAATTTATAAGCTTCTTCTTTTTTTCGCCACACTTTTTAAACACCATCCAATGAGACAAGGTTGTATTTGGACTCATCTGACCACAAAATTTTTTTCCAATAAGATATCGGGATTTTTTCGTACTTCTTTGCAAACTCTAATTGACGTTTTATTTGTTTTGAAGTTAAAAAAGGTTTTTTTCGAACTACTCTACCTCTATATCCTTGTTCTCTAATACGATTTCTGATTGTTTGAGGGGTTACTGTGATACTGTGATCTTCTTGAACTTTTAAAGCTAATTTAGCTGCCGAAACAAATCTATTTTTCTTCACATTAATGATGATATTGCGATCAATTGCACTAGTGGTCTTGCGTTTTCGTCCTCTGCCAGCCACACTAGCTTATGCTTCTTAACAATTGAGGACACTATTGTAAAAGAAATTCTTGTTTCTTTTTGGATCTGACAGTAGGATTTACCTTGATTTTTTAAATCAACTACGAGGCTTTGTTGATGGAAAGACAAATGTTGCTTTCTTGACGCCATTTTGCTGAGACACTATATTTTATTTCTAGAACAAAAGTATATTTAAAAAATTACTTTTTTTATATTTAAAAAATTACTTTTTTTATATTTAAAAAATTACTATTTTTAATTTTACTAACTAGTTTAATTGTTCAATTCGCTTAATTTATGCTAAAATAACAACATATTTTGTCAGCGTACAATTATTTTTTCTGCAGTCAATATGCATCATTAGATCAATTGTGTAAAATTCAATAGGTATGAAAAGCAATTAAATCGCCAATACACAAATAAATTCTTAAAAAAAATGTGATAAGATATCTAAAAAAAACGAAAAACTAATTTTTTTGACGCAATCTTTAAAATTACGATTTTTTTTCAAGTGTACAATTATTTTTTTTGCATACTGTATATACAGGCCTTGTTTTAAAGCGTTACACCTAGAGCGATTTACGTACGCCTTAAGCGATTTTTACGTACGCGTAGAGCTGTTTTGGTTAAGCTACTTTTTATCATTTTTTAACTTTTAAATTAGCGGTAACATAAAAGAAGTAATTAATTTTTAAAAAAACCACATTAACTTTTAAATAAAGATATGTAAAGATATTTATTTAAAAAAAGAATTTACTTTAAAAATAATTGTTGTAACTTTTCATCGCGATATATCTTTCCTTTTTTCAGCAATTAATTTGACGCTAAACTTTTTATCCAAATATTTAGCAACATGAAAAATTGTTTGTCAATCCTTAACTACAAATTTTTTGCAATGTTTTTAATAAAAAGTAGTAATTTTTTAAAGTTTTCAGTAAAAAACTTTTTAAAAATCTATATTCCATATTTATTAATACAGAATATAAATGTTTTTTGTAATATAGATTTTTTAAGAATTTTTTACTGAATTTATAACAAAAAAAATTGTAATTAAGAAATTTGTAATTGACATTTTTTTTTAATATCTCAAAAAATGTCTTAATATTTTTGTTATCATGGTTACAAAAATATCAAGACATTTTTTCGAGATATTAAAAAAAATGTCTTTGCTTTTCTTATTAGTTAAAGGTATATAGATACCTTTACCTTTAAGTTATGCGGGGGGAGGGGGTCAACACAGAAAAAAAAATTACCTGTTACTCGCAATATTTGAATGAAGACAATTTGTTAAATTTCTTCTGCGTGCAATTCAATAAGTTTTTTTTTTCATAAATCAAGTTATATTATAAGGTAAAGAAATCATGAGTAGACTACAACATCCGCTGATGACACTAATATTACGTTAAATATATTTATATAACGAAGGTTTCATTATGCACGCACACATTACAGGTTCCGTTAAATAAATACTAAGGCACGTTTTAGTTTAATGACAGTCTCCATTTTTTACTAATGAATATGTATTTTTCTTTATAAAAGAAAACAAACTAGTATATAAAAACCTTGTATATTTCTATTATCTCTAAATTGTTTAAAGTTCAAATATGGATTGTATTTTGAAGGACAAAAGATTTACTTGAAAAACTTTTAAATCTTGGGACTTTGCCGATGCTTAGCCGATGCGATGATCACAGAAAAAGAGAAGACTTACGTTATTAAAACCAAATGTAAGTTATGTGATCTTCATCAAAAATATTATTCAAAAACAATGGTGTTGTATTGGGCAACTGCCCAACGGTTTATAAATAACACAAGTCATGTTAAAATATTTTAACATGTTACTATATTTTAATTAAGTTGGTATATAATTAAAAATAAAAATATAGTTCAATAAATAAATTAAATTTGTTCTTAACAAAGATTACCTCATTTATTCTTTTTTTTATTTTATTAAGTTAAATTGCTTACAAACGAAAAAAAAAAGAGTTTTGTAATTATACGTAGAATGAAAATACTTTTGAGTTTGTTTATAAGTTAAGGAGCTTAATTTTTAATAAACAAATTTATTATAAACAGATACGATCCAAATTATTAAATATAATTTATTTCAGTTGAGTATTTTTTTAAGTTTGCACGATTAAAGTTTTGCGTAGAACTATTTGTTTTTTTGTTTTAAGAATAATTAACAAAAGAGTTTGCATAATTAAGACTTTTAAATTTAATTTAATTTTTTTTTTTAATTTCCTAAAATTTAAAAAAAAAGATTTAATCGTTAAAAACGATTTTTTTATATAGCTCTGTTTCTTTGTGATTTGTTTAAAAAGTAAAATATTTTTACAATAACATAAAAAATTTATGAATTAAATTCCTGGCGAACGCGTTATAAACTATGTATCAAAAATATGCTCAAAGCAGACAAAACTTTTTTATATTTTTATAAAACGCAAGTTGAAACGCTAAACAAGATAAGTTTAAAAAGAATTTAAAAAACTAAATTTTTCTTTGCTTGTCAAAACAAAATCGTTGTTTAAATAATTAACATGGGTTTGTGTTTATCAATATTAATATTTTTTGTTTACTCTAGAAATTTTTAAAAATAAAAAAAATCATTATTATTTTTTATTTAATAACGATTAAAAAACAATTATTCAAAAACAAATTTTGGAAATAATTTAAATATATATATATATATTTTTTACTAAATAATATTGAACTAAAATTAATAATAAAATAACAATCAAAAACATTACAAAATTTTCATAATAAATTTACATTTAAAACGTTTATAGTTATTTGAGTTAGTTGTTAAATTGAACTTGTTTGCGGTTATTTATTTATTTATTGCGGTAGTTAAAACACTTAACGTCTATAAAAAAAATAAAGATAATTTTAT